ATAAAAAAGGGAATGTATTCGCTCAACTACTTGATATGTTTAGTTTTGTTTGGGGATAATTCTTAAATCTTTGGGAACCCAAGTTAATAATGAAAGATTTATTTCATTCCATGCTGTCTTTTCACCTGAAAGGGCAAGTCAAGTGTTAGCTTTCATTGCCAATAAGAGTGTCATTCTCCTTTGCCTGGGGAGTATTTGAGAAATAGCGTTGCTTCTGATGTTAGAACTTTACAATTGGGGCAGTAGTTCTCACAGTGATTCAGAAAAGCAGGATCATCTCATGTGGCTCAGAGAAAAATTAGTTGACCACAAACACCTACATTTCATAGATGGTTATTTAGTAGCTTGATGGGATATAAAACCAAGGGATAAGAGAGGAAGCTCTGAAAAGAATTGGGAGTTTGGGGCATATAGTGTTCTTTACGAAGTGGTTATAGTTTATTAAACAATTTTAGATGAATCAATGAAAGATGACTCTTATTATAGAAAAAATAGCTGTAAATGAATATTTTGGAGGGGAAATTGGGGAAAAAAGGAATAGTACAATTTAGAAGTTTCTAATCTGTAGTTTTTACTTCTAAAGTTACCTGACAGAATGAAACCTTAATTAGTGCACCATTTATCTGAAACTATCCAACCAAATAATTTGAATATAAACATTTTTTACAGAGACTATGTTAAACTTCTGGTACCCATTAAAGCCGTCACAGGACTTCAGAGGAAGTTTGTTCTTGGTTCTTTTAGACCCAGTTGATATTTTGTCTTTGCCTAAGACACTTTTTCCTTCCCCATGTGGCTCCACTAATGTCCCTTAAACATTAAGTCAGATAGCTGTCCTATCATAGTAGGAATGTAAACATTATCTACTGCAAACATGTTATCCCCCCCCCAAATAGGAGATCAAAACATGGGGGAAGGAGAGAAGGAAAAGAGGGTAAAAGAGGAATTAAAATGCAATGTGTGATGTACACGTACCACCTTCCCATAGGGAATGTAAATATCTACCAATAAAAAATTCTTAAAAAGAAAAAAATGCGTGTTATTTGTAACTTAATTTTTAAGCTTCATGAAAGCAAGTGCATTGTCTGTTGTTCATCATTATTTCCCCAATAATCAGAATACGTCCTGAACACAATGATTAGCTACTGAATGAATTTATAAATCCATTTACTCTTACATAGTGTACTTTTGTTAAATAGAAAAATCTAAGAGTCAGAGTAGAAATATAAGTGTCCATTGAATACAAATTATAATAGTATTAAAATTTGGAGATAACACCTCTCATTTATTGCCTGCAAATACCTTTTTCAAGAATATTATGGCATGGAGAATAGCATGTTTAAGTTGTGAAATTTGTAAAATGATTAGCTGCAGGGGGCCCTTAAGAAAATTCAACTTTAAGATTTTAAAGTGGAGAAAACAGAATTACTTGATTATGTAGCTAAATTGCTGATATGAAATGAAAATTTGACCTGGGACCTATTGCCAAGCTCCCTGAATATACAAAATTGTGTTCCTTAAACAATGGCCGCACAGAACAGACATTCCTTTAAAATAAACTGAGAATGTGTGCAGCTGTATTTGTAAAGATAAATGAAAGGAACTGGAAGACTTTATTAAGAAAGAAAAATAATTTTATTTTTAGTCAATTTGTGACAATCTGTGCCTGGGTTACATTATATATGTCCAGCATATACCAAGGTGGCTAGGCCATGGTAGGGTCCAGCTTGTTTTTCCTAGTTAATTCTAATAATGTCCCTCAATATGCTGTTTTCTGAGGCTTGTTATTTTTGTATATGTTTAGAAATATGACACTCATTTATTCATACATATATACATGCACTTCAGTTTTTATTGAGTGTTTATTATGTGGCAGGTACAGTAATAAGGTTAGAGTAGTCAGCAAAGGATCTTATAGGCAAGTGAGAAAGGAAGGAAAAAGCATGTCAAAGAGAAGGATTGCTTGAGTCAAGAGTAAGTTTTCAGGGTTGGGGATTTAGCTCAGTGGTTCGACCATCTGCCTCGCAAGCTCAAGGACCTGAGTTTGAACCCTGGCACCCCCCCTCCCAAAAGAATAACTTTTCAATTTCAGAGGTCCTTGAAGATCATAAAAATAAAGCAGTACTTTTTCTTGGCTGAATATTGGGAGAGAAGATGGAAAAGACAAAGACACTGTAATCACAGTGTATTAAGTGAATTTAGAGATCTTCTTCTTTATTTCAGAAAACTTGTTGCTTTCTATTCTTGACCCCCTTGTCTTAGTCACTTTCCTCCTTGCTGGGACACAGTACCCAACACTTACTATATAAAGAAGGAGAGGCTTATTTTGGTTCATGTTTCAATAGACTTAGTCCTTGCATGTCTGTTGGTTCCAAAACAGGATGGTACAATACAGGAAAATGAAGGAGGACTAGCGTGCACATCACATGGCAGCCAAGAGTCAGAGAGAATCAAGGAAGGAGCCAGAAAGAGAGATACTGTCGTCCAGGTCACACCTACCTTCCATGCCACCCCCATATCTAAACCCTTTAAAAGCCCCACTGTTGAGCATAGGAGGCTTTGGGGGACATCTACATATACACCGTAACCCCTAACTTTTGTTTAGGCCTTATCCTAATGTACACATTTTGCTACGTGCAATGTCATGTAGACCCTAAACAGTAGGTGTTACTTCAGTCGATTTCATTCATGAGAGTAGCAGACTCAGGGAAGTTATGTAGAGTACTTATTTGGACCCCAGGGGTCCAAATCCAGAGTTCATTCATCTTTATCCAGCATGGCAAGCTAAATAACCTTTGCTTTGTTTTCATTAACTTTATATTTATTCATATTTTTGCTTTGTTTTTGTTAACTTGCCAAAATTTTGTGATCTTATATTTCCTTAAGTTGAACCACTTATAACTCTTAATTTGTCACAAAATTTATGCCATATACAAGTGAACTCACTTGTTTAAATAAGTACTTTAAAATTTGATGCGGTAAATGATTTGTTAAAGTATAGTTGTATAGAATTCATTTTTATGTCATGATTTAATGTCATTTGTGTGTGTGTGAGAGAGAGAGAGAGAGAGAGAGAGAGAGAGAGAGAGAGAGAGAAATGCCTAGAGCAGTGCTTGGTGTGTAGTAGGTGATCCATAAATATTACTAATATGCCCCAAAGAGTGCTTTAAATGCACAGTTTTATAATCTGATTCAATAACCTTAGTAGTTACCAGTACAGTGTGCTCATATGGATCACTCAATTTTGATGTTACTTTCCTTTGATAAATCTCCAGGGTTTGTGTATTGAACTGTGGCTCTCAAACTTTAGCATCCATCAGAATCACCTGAAGTGCTTGCTCATTGAAAGGCTGTTTCCTGGACACTACTCTCACAGTTTCTTTTCAGTAGGTGTGAGGTGGTGTCTGAGCACTTTCTTTTCTTGAAATCCAAGGAGATACTTTTACTGCTGGTTTGTCTACCACACTTTCAGAACTGCTGCTCTGAGAAAGTGACACAACTTCTAATGTTGGTGTCTGCCCCCCCTCCACTTCCCCTTTATTTCTTTCAAAATGTTTTTGATGCTGGGGCTTCAACTCAGGATCTTGTGCTTGTGAAGCTGCATTGACAGTGTTGATGTAGCTGAATTTATTATATGATCTTTATAGGATACTTTAGAGAACTTTGGCTTGTACATATATACATTGCTGTGCTTACTGCTTAGGAAGTTTCCTAAAAGTTACTTTAGCATTATTTCAAATTACAGGTTATAATTTGTTTTCGATCTTTTAAAAACATTCACAAAACAACAGGGATTTACATTTTAGGGGAGGAGCATTGTGTCCTGGAATAAATTTTGTAAGACGATCTTACGTTATAATTGATTTCTGAGAATTCCTGAGTATCAGGATGATGCAGCAAATTAAAAACAGTAAAGCAAATTCTATCTTCTTTAGTTCTTTTCAGGAATCCTTTTAAAATTAAAAATTTATAGGCTAGTACTGAGTAGAATTTGGTTCTTTGATTCACTTACAAGATTTCACTCAGAATTATACTAATATAGCAATTTTACCTCTTCCTTTTAAAGCACATCATATGTTTTTGGGGATATAATACTATAGAAGAATTAGTATCTAAAAGAAGAAAAGGCAGTCAGAACATTTTTGTCCCTGAGATGACAGTGAAATGTTCTCTCATTCAGTATATATGGTTTTCTGTGCCAGACATTATGGCAAAAGTAGGCACCAAAATCATTTATCTTTATCTTATACAATGAGGGGTTTTAATAGATTTTAACTTAAAGTGATCTAATTGTGTGATGAGGATACTGGTAAATTTAATGCAATCTTAGGCTTTGTTAATAGATTTAGGATTGTGTATAGATCCATGTTTTGCTGTCTTATTTTACTCAACCATATTTGGAATGTTAGGTGTACTTAGGGGGTAAGAAGAAAAATTAGCATCATTCTGGAAGTAGAGGGGGTCTGCTGTTGAAAGGTGTTGCCTTCCTACATATGAGGATGAAAAATGTAGTACATTGGACGGGAAGACATCCCACTGTGATGTTAATTCATTCCTACTATAATGTAAGAACTGTCCACCTTGTCCATTACTCCCAAGGCTAAACACACTGTCTGGTGCATATTGAGTTGATAGTTTGACCTTCAGCTACTTGTCACAAAGATGATTTGTTTGTTTTATTTAGATTTTCAGAGGCAGACAGAATTGCCACTGAAATAATTTTTAGGTGGAGAGATTTCAGTTTTATATAAGAACTTTGTAACACCTAGATAGTATGGCAGCCAAATATATAAGCTTCTGCCTGTTTGAATTCTGTCATTTAAATGCATAGGTAAAGGCTGCATGGAATTTACTTTTGTAAATTCTTTTGTAGAGTAAGGGCCAAGATATTTTCAGCTATTGACACAGCTATGTATTCTTATCTTCTTATTTATTTCATTTAACAAAAAATAATGTCAAGTAATGATTTTTTTTTTTCTAAGTGAGATCTTTCTTTTCAGGCTAAAGAAAAGCAAGGACCTGGACCGAGAGAGGGCTGCAGCCAATGAGCAGTTAACCAGAGCTATCCTTCGAGAGAGAATATCAAGTGAGGAAGAACGCTCGAAGGCAAAGCACTTGGTAAGTTATAAAGATCTCTTGCTTACATGGAAATCCCTGATGTTTTAGAAAAGCTAAGTACGTTGTGCCAATTTTTAATTTATGTGCTGCCTAACAAAATGAGCAAATCTATGCCAGTTTTTAGTGTTGATGATATTCGTGTTCTTTTTGGCTTAGATTCTCGAGTTAGCCCTTTATAAGTAGCTGACAAGATTAAAACATGAAGGACTTTAAAGCAGGTAACTTCAGATATATTGAAGTAAACCTGGGCCAGGAAGTACATGGTTCTAATCCCAGCACTCTGAGAGGCTGAGGCAGGATGATCATAAGTTCAAGCCTATCCAGAGCAACTTAGTGGCTTAGTGAGATCCTGTCTCAGAATGATAAAGAATAAAAAGTGCTAGGGCTATAGCTCATCCCCAGAGAAAGAAGGCTCTGGGTTCAATCCCTACTACTGAAAAAAAAGAAATACTGAAGTAAATACAAATGTACAGACACAAATATATGTATCATGACTGGAGAAATGTGCCTGGGTTTCCTTTTTACTCCCTTGGTTTTGGTTTTTTTATCTTTGAAATCTCTAGGACCATCAGCCTAGACTTTTTTGTCTTCTTGCTGGCAACTTTCAGGTGTTCATCTGGGAACATTGCAGCAAAGGTGACTAAAGGTGTGGTCAGTCAACTCTGGTCTTTAGAAGGAGAAAATGTCAAGCAAGGGCCTTGGGGAATAATTTTTTTTTTAAGGGAATTGTTTTTTATTTATTTATTTATTTATTTTCCTCATTGAGTTTATTGGTACATTTTAGGTATACAGTACAGTTGCATTCATTATTGGGATCTTGTGCCTTTACATGACAGGTCTTGGTTCTTATTTTTTCCCCTTGTCCCTGCCCTCCCTTCACCCCTTCTCCCCTCCTCCTTTACAAACACTTCATTTCCATTTTGTCATTTTGTCATGTTTTTTTCTTTTTCCTTATTAGCTTTCCCCTACCCTTCCCACTTGTCCTATACCTTTAGCCCCTTTCTTCCTTTTTTCACATTGTTCATTATATCATTAGGGTCTTATGTACTACTATAGTTTATTCACACCAGAGAAACTATTCAGTATTTACACATGTGTGACTTACTTATTTCACTTAGGAATATATCCTCAATATGTATCCATTTTGCTATGAATGAATCTAATTTCTCATTCTTTATGGCTGAGTAATATTCCATTTGATAGAAAAACCACATCTTTATCCAGTATCTAACTGATGGGCAAATGGGCTGTTTCCAAATTTTAGCTATTACAAAATGTGCCACTATAAACGTAGGTGCGCATATATCTCTGTGATACGATTCTTTTAATTCTTCTGGAAAGATACCCAGCAGAGGAATGGCTGGGTCAAATGGAACCTCTAGTCCCAGCTGTTTCATGTATCTCCATATTGATTTCCATAGTGGTTGCACCAGTCTGCACTCCCACCAACAATGGAGTGAAAGGGTTCCTTTCTCCCCACAACCCCGCCACCATTTGTTATTGTTTGATTTCTTGATAGCAGCCATTCTTTGTGGGGTGAGGTGGAATCTCAGTGTTGTTTTCATCTGCATCTCTCGAATGACCAGTGATAATGGAACATTTTTTCATATATTTACTTGCTGTTTTTATTTCTTTGTCTGAGAAATGTCTGTTCATTTCAAATGCCCATTTTTGAATCGGGTCTTTATATTTGAGGGGCCTAAATTTTTTTTAGTTTTTTATATATTCTAGATAATAGTCCTTTGTCTGAGGAGCAGCTGGTAAAAATTTTTCCCACATTGTAAGTTGTCTCTTAGTTCTGTTGATGGTTCCTTTGGCAGTGCAAGAAATCCTCAGTAGCACAGGAACTAGCAGAAAGAATCAACAAATGGGATCTCATCTTATTAAAAGGGAATTGTTTTTAAATAAATGATACTTTAATTTTTAAAAAATATTATACAAATATTTTTTCTTTAAGAAAAGATTATTCATAGAAAAGAAAGTTTAAAAGACACATAAATCTGTCTTTCTGACATGGTTTACACTGGAGTATGTTTCCTGCTAGAATATGTTTTCTAGGTTTATTACATATTTTAGAAGGTGGATCATGCTATATATATAGTATGTAGCATCATGACACTTTCTTATATCATTCCAAAATGTAATTTTTCTTTTTGGTACCAGGGATCAAACTGAGGACCTTGTGCTTGTGAGGAAGGTGGCGGCACCACTGAGCTAAATCCCCAGCCCACCAAAATTTATTTTTTAATGGCTAAATAATGTTCATCCTCTATATTACACAGAATTTATTAAACAGTTGCCCATTATTAGATAAAAATGGAGCCATTTAGCTTGAAGCCTGTAGTCTGACTGCGCAGCTCCCACTTCAGCCTTCCCAGATGCAGCTTCTCAGAACCTTTAGTCCTTGTAGGAACACAGCTGGGAATGCAAGGGTGAGGGAAAATGGGGCTTTATAATTTTAAGGCTTTGAATGGCTGAGGTCCTACTTTAGCAGGCAACTGGCAGTTTCTAAAACTTTGTAAGAGAAGTGCCTACTTCTTATCTAGCCAGTCTATTTCTTTGTCCCTTCTCTTTTGCTGTAATTGCCTCAAATATTTATTTTTGGAAGACTGCCATTTTTTTCTTTCAGATTTTTAAAAAAATTAACACATAATAATTGTGTATGTTTATGGAGTACAATATGGTGATTCAGTATATGTATACAACCTGGAATAATCAAATCAGAGTAGTTAGCTTTTCGCTGTTTATGAACATTTATTATCTCTTTGTGTCGGGAAACTTTGAATTTCTTTTTTCTAGTTCTATGCAAAATGATAATAAATTAGTGTGAACTGTTCTCTGGTGTCCTTTACCTTGATCTGTTCTTTGAAAAGCTGACCTGTGATCAACTAGAGAAAATGAAAGGAAAAGCAGAGTCTCATGAACCCATTTCTTCGATGACTAATAATCCAGGGCCTAGGCTGCATGGGTAAATAGTGATACTGAAGGAGGTGATGACCAGGAAAGAAAGGTCAATTTGAAAAATGCTCAAGTTTGAGAAAGAAGGGATGGGGTGGGGTGGGGGGTAAAATCTTTGGTAGGCTTTTTCTTCTCTGTCCACTACCATTTCCATCTTATCCTTGAAATACATTTCTCTTGACCTCTCTTGACCTGAATTTGACACATTGTTTGTTCACTTATTTTAAGATTAAAAAACTCATTACACACACACACACACACACACACACACACACACACACACACACAAACACAGACACATACCTCAAAAGGTTTAAAAAGAGGAGAGTTTTTGCAACAAAAACTTGGTATTTTTGTACCAGAAATAACTTGAATATAGTTTGGTTCAAGCAATCTATCTTCAGCCTGTTTGTTCTTTTTTACCTAATACATCTTATCTATTGTCTGTCTTTTTATTTCTTCTTTTTTTTAAGATGGTCAAACATAAGAAACTGATATTGTATAATCTACTTGGTAGATTTGTTTCATGCTGATTCTGAGATTGTATAGTATAGATGGCAAATTATAGTACTCACAACTCCTGAATTTCACCATCTATCATAATATTGGCCCGGACTATTGGCAAAAGACGTAAGGACTAAAAGTAGAATGTGTACAGTGAGATGAGATCTGATTCAGAGAATCTTTTTCTCACTTGACTGTACTTTGATATTTGGTATATAATGGCCCCAGCAGCATAGCTTCCTATGACAAACTAGCTAATAGTTAATTCCCAATTTATTTACCAAATTTATCCACTTATTTTTATTTTGCTGTGTAGAAGACATGTGCTTGTTGGATAATGATCAGAAAATAAATTTTAAAAATGTCAATATCAGCTGAAAGTTGATTTGAGATGATTTTAATATTTTGATTTATTTTTAATAATTATTTTTATTTTCTACTGTTTGTATAAGGCATTTATATTCATGCGTGTGAATGTGTTTCCCAAATCATTGTACATATTTTTGTGCTCTTACAATCAACTTCACATTTGAAAATATTTAGATTTATAGTGAAAGTGTTTATACTAATAATGTTTTTCTGTGGTCACTTTTTAATGATTGAATGTATTTCAAAGCGTTTTCCTCTAATGATTAAAATAATGCAAGCTTGGTAATAGAAAATTTTGAAAATATAAAACTTACCAAGAAAATAGATAAGGTAATTCTTTCATCTCTCATAAATGTGTAGAGGCATAAATGTATATTCTGTACAGACTTTAGAGTTTCTACATATACCTCCTGCCACACTCAGAGTCAGAATCATATGGTGTTGACTCTGAGCCTGATTCTATCTTACAGTCCCCTTGATCCTCGCTGGACAGATGAGCATCTTTAAAACCCATAGTTATTGATGAAAGTCAACCCAAGAAGTTAACCCAGGAAGTTACACTACTCAGAGTGCTGGCCATGTGTTGCTGCTGTTTGTTTGTTTATTCACTCATTCATTCATTTTTAGTAATGAGTGTTGAACTCAGAGCTTTGCACTTAGCTACAACCTAAGTCTTTTTTAAATTTTAAATTTTGAAACAAGGTCTTGCTAAGTTGCCCAGGCTGGGCTTGAATTTATAATCCTCCTATCTCAGCCTCCTAGAGTGCTAGAATTGTAGGTGTATGCCACCACACCTGGGACTGCTATTTTTAACTCCTGTATGTAGGGCTCTTTGAAAGATGACCAAACATTGATTTTTTTTTCTCTTTATTTAAAGTATAAATGTTGCTGCCTCCAAGAAAGTAAAAGTTGGGTTTCATACATTGGAAGTAAATAGAAAACTGTCAGAACTGGAGTGGGAGGAGGGGCTGCCTGATGTGACGTTGATATAGGGTAAGCATCTCCTATCCCCAATGTTTGGGTTGGAAATGTTGTGGAGTTTTTAGAATTTGGAATATTTTTGTATATATAATGAGCTCTCTTAGGGTGAGGCCCCAGGCCTAAACATGACATTCATCTGTGTTTCATATATACCATATAAATATAGTCCAAAGATAATTTTATCAAAT